AGTGATCCTCCTGTTTTTAGCCTCCTCAGCACTGGGATTACGGGCTTGCACCACCATCTCTGGTCTTGAGGGCCAGCTCAGCGCACCTGGGGGCTGGGCTGGCATAGCATGTGGTGCCAGGGATCAAACCCCAGTCCAGTAGAAGGCATTGCTTAAGCAGGCACTTAGTGCACTGAGCTATTTTGCTGGCCCTGAAAAAGGATAACACTTGGCAAATCTATAGTTTTTTTGGTATTAGTAAATTTGGTTATTGGAAAATTAAAGTATAGATGCCAAAGAAAGCTAAATATAAATAGTTCACTAAGCCATTTTAAACAATGTATTTGCACCCTATGAAACTATGGGTAACAAAGCTCACCTGAAATATTGGGGATAAAAATTATAAAATGTCAGTTTTCATTAAAAAATAGAACAAATGCTGTCCCCAATATCCATATAAATTAACCTCTATGACACTAGATTATTTCACTACAACTCAAGATTCCCCATTGTCACAATTTAATTCTTGAAATTAAATATGCAATAAGCCCTCTTATCCATTGTTTTTATAGTTTGATTTGCAGCAGTAAACCATAATCCAAAATATTAAATGGAGCTTTGCAGAAACAATTTATCAATCATAAATTACAGAAAGTTCTCAGTAGTCTGATGAAATCTCACACCATCCTCCTCTACACTGCCCAGAAAGTGACTCCTTTCATGAAGTGTTTTGACACTATCTATGCTAGCTGTCAGTTACTCACTAAGCTATCACAGTTATCAGATGGACCTTTATTCTATCACAGTGCATGTGTTCTAATAATCCTTATTTTTTTGATAACAGAAAGCACAAAACTTGTAACACTGTCAATTTTAGTACAGAATATTGTTATAATTGTTTCATTTTATAATCGGTCACTACTAATCTCTCAACATGCTCAATTTATAAACTAAACAGTTTATATGTATGTATGTATGTATGTATGTGTGTGTGTGTATGTATGTGTGTGTGTATGTATAGGAGAAACCAGGATTAGAGTCTAGCACTCGACACCATTTGAAGCATCCTGGGCTCTTGAATCCTATTGCCTGCAGATATGGAGATGGGGTATGTTGTGGTTTGTGTCTAGGTGTCCCCCTAAAGCCTCATGCAGTCTTGGGGCAGCCTCTGGATTTTGTGATTGATTACTGTGGGTGTGAATAGTGCACCTGCCCTGGGGCAGGTAATTTGCATCACAATGTAAGGTGGGAAGAGAAGCTAGCAACTTGAGCTGCTGCTACCTCTCCCTGGTGCTCTAGCTGTTTGCCAACTCCATGAAAGGTTGCACTCTGCCATGTGCTGCTCTGCCTTGGAGCCAGCTGAATATGGACTGAAACTTCCAGTAACTGTGAGCTAAATAAACCTTTTCTTCCTTCATTTTGGGTGTCAATATTTGTCCCAGCAACAAGAGAAGAGTAAGACTGGGTACTATAACAAATTCACAGGTGGTCTCACTGGATAAAAATGTATAAGAGAAATCCTAAAGCTTACAATATAATCACCCTAGAAAATTCCAAGAAATTCAAAAAGTGAATGTAATCTGAAATTAGCATATTGTGTAGAACACAGTTTCTAAAGCAGAAAGAACAGTCAAATTAGTCACATTAACTGATTTTCTCAAAAAGAATGCAAAATGAATTCAGTTGCCATAGGAACAGGGATGGTAACACCAGTGACATATTCTTATATACCATGTGGCTTTCTGGGTTGTCACTGAATTCCCATTAGTTGAGAATATTTTGCTTAACTACACTTGTGAATAAACTGTGTAGAGATTGTTTAATGAAAGGTGTGACAAACTAGTGAGCAATGCTCAGGCAGCTGAGTCCAGTGTTTACACAAATCAAATTTTTTGATTAGAAAATTTGATTATAAGTAAATAGCACAAAGTAGGCAAAATATAGCCAGTGGTGAATCTTGCCTTGGGCTTCTAAGTTGCCATCTTCACTGCAAAAGATGAAATCATGGATTTAAATTCAAACAATATTAGGCTATCTTCTCTCTTGGCCACATAGTGTATTTTGTAACTTTAGATAAGCTACTTGAATTAGATTCCATTTCATTCTCAGCAAGAAGGAAATGGATCAACTCAGTACAGTGGCTCATGCCTATGGAAGGCTGAGGCAGAAGGGTCACTTTCAATTAAAGACCAAACTGAACTACATCATGAGGCTGTCTCAAAAAAGCAAACAAAAAAAATGAATTGAATAATAAGAGCTACCTGACAAAGATATTGTAACTATCAAGAAAAGAGGTTTAGAATTCTTGACTTAGCAATTGCTCAGTGGGGGGTTGATACTATTTTTTTTTGTTATGCTTATAACAATATATGGCTAATGCTGTTAATTACAAACAGAAGCCTAGAGACCTATACAACTTGATGATCGATATGGAGAGATTGGAAAGCTCAGGATTCTTTATTGCCAGCCCATTAAGCTATGTCTCTTAATATTATACATGAAAATTACATTTTCTAATGCAAGTAAATTTATGATAAGGCTCTAATTTCCTCGCCTCCTTTATTAATTGAAATAGTATAAATATTTTTTCATAATGAATAATGACTTTCAAAATTTATAATTCCACTTAATAGCTGTATACAATTATTTATTACAGGTTAACACAGAAAATAAAGGTTAATATCTGTTCTTTACAGCAGCAAGCAGCAGTATTTTGTTGCAGACAAGTCATTAAAAAATTGTCCCCACTACATCAATATTAGCAAGATCATTTATTATAAAACAGGGGAGGCCCTATTTTAATTACTCTTTCAGAAATAGTAATATATTAAAAATGACTTTGATGATCAGAGTTATAATTCTGAATATTATTTGATATTTAGCTCCTTCATACTAAACCAATTCTAATAGAGAAACTGTAGCCTTAGAAAGTGTTAGCATTTTCTTAGTACTTCATTGGGCTCCGATTCAGAATCTTTCTAACAGTACCTCAGAACTTTCACCTGAACCTTATCAAATTATACCTTTTCAGCCTAAGAAGTTGGCTATTCTTAATAATTAAACTCAGGGGCCTGCCCCTTAGCTCAGTTCTTTAAGTGGCTGCTTCAACAAAGCAGTCAGGCTCAGGTTGCTGTGGTTCATCCCCACTACTCAAGTCAGCCAAACCTGCCCTGAAGGCATTTGGAGAAAAAAAAATTAAGCTCTTCCCATTGGCTAATAGCTTCTTTTCTAAGCAGTTTAGGAATTGTCCACTAATACTTTGAGCATGAAATCAGATGTAATCATCATGTTGACAGGTGTGGTTGACTGACTCTATCTGAACTCAATGTTAACTAAAAATTTACATGCATAGCTTCCATGAATCCTCACCATAATTTTATTTATACTTTTTTTTTATAATTTCCTTTCATTTTGAAGAGTAAAAACAAGAGCAAGAAAAACAAAAGCAAAGACAGACCATAACTTTAGAAAGCAGATGTTGTAAGTATCCTAATGGGGGCCAGGGAGATCCATTGGCCATGTAAGTGCCTGCCTGGCAAGTGCAAAGGCCCAGGTTCAGTCCCCAGCACTACATGCTGTTCTGACCAGTATGAGCTGAGTAGCAAGACCCTGTACCAAATAAATAGATAAATGAATAAATATTTTTTTAAAAATGTCCTGAAGTGCCTCATTTGTAATGTAGTTCTGAGAGAGGATAAGTAATTTGTCTGGTAAGTGTCTCAGTCAGGACTTTAGTTCCATTCCCATAGCTATTCTAGATTGCTTGAAATTTTTAAAACTCCACCAAAATGGATTAGACATGTTTTAGAAAAAAGACCTACTATTCAGCTTGCTACCATATCAGGAGCTGAATAGACTGGAATGGGAGAATGATTAAAGGTATAAAAGACACTGAGCAGGAAATTTAAAAGTGAATTATTTCTGAATACATCAATTTCCTAAGAGTACATATTGAGTTTGCATAAAAGTAAAGAAACTTTTACTCATGTACCCTATTTTAACAATAGTCCATGAAAATCCTAACTTGAGAACACATAAAAATAATTTTATCTGCATTTACCAATACATCTCATCACAGAATTTTTCCTTGTATTAATGTAAACTGATGTTAATCATACTTACCTACTTACAGGGAAACCCAAGTGGAGTTGGGGGCAGTAGAAAAACATAAAATTAAATGTTGCTAAAAGCTATTAAGCTAAGATATTACATTTCTAAATTTGAGTCTACACAAATATAATTAACTAGTTCTATTCAGAAATGTATACCTGTGAGAGCAAATCAGGCTCTACTCTATTTTCCAGCCATTACTTTGTTCATTTAGTAATTGCCTCCAATAGGTTAATGTTTCAAATACGACCTAGTAATACATGAACACTTTCTTAAAAATTAAAGGTAAAGTATTCCAAAATATTTAGAATTACAGAGAAACTAACTGACATAATTCTGAGAAAGAGTATCAGGACTGAGGCCCACTAAACAGATCAAAACAGACTAAGTGAAGCTTACCACTGTGGTATTCCTTGAGAAAATGGTTTCCATAATTAAGAAAGTAGCATCTGATTAGGCAGGAAAAATACTGACAAACTTTGGGAACTAGTCCACAAGACGTACGCTAACATAGAGCACATTAAATGTATTTTTCACTGGTCAGGGACAGGAAAATCTATTGCTACATCATCTGTTTTTGCAAATATGGAAGGTTACCATTATGTTTTGATGTTAATCCAACTACTGCAAATTTCTTGTTGTGAAGCACAGTGTGAAAGTGACAGTGACAATGTAAATCTTTTTAAATTGAATTCAACTCCATTGAAAACAGCTGATGTTTTCAAATACTGTTACAAAGCCTCGAAAAAACAAGAATAACTCTCTAATTGAAACTACTTTCTATAGTGACCTATTTGGTATGAAAGCCAAACAGCCATGTAAAATCAAGTTCTGCACATCTGCTATTGTGTGTCTGTGAGTGTGTGTGTGTGTGGGTGTGTGTGTGTGTGTTGCATTTGTAGAACAATTACCTGTAATGCACTGGTGTCCTCATAAGTAAATTGCACAGTGGGAACTCCAAGGTAGTTGATGAAATAATCAGCATCACCTTGTATCTGTACGGAACTGATATTGTTTTCTGGGCACTGAGTTCTTCTGGTACAGTTGAACTTATTTTTCTGAAAAACATAATTTAAATTGTTAATAGATATTCTACTCCTCAGGCCATCTCTAAGTCAGTGCTACTCAAGTGTGTCCATAGCTCGTTCATATCATCATTATCCAGCAGCAAGTCCAGCAAGCCTGGATTGTACCGTCTTCTTTGCTGGGAACATTTGAGGGTAGGAACAGAAATCAGGTACAACACCTTCCTTTGATTCTGAGGTTCATGGAAGCTTAGGAAGCATGGGTAGCACTCAACCTTTGCTTGCTGTTGTTGCTTCTAAAGTAATATTACTGTAGGTTTATTTTGACAGCAATGATTCTAACTTGAAGATTACTAATTTGAGTCCCTCAGAACCAACCACACAGCTAAACGAAAGTTCTGTGGAAATAAAGATCTGTAAACATTTAAAATAAGAACTAGGCAAAGTCAGTGTTTATATAATTAGTGTTGACTACAGATGCCTTTTTAAATACGTTCTTCACATATCTAAGATCTTTATGAGATGCAGTGGTCTGAAAGAAACATGAAAGGCGGTCCACTGCTGGGTAGCTGTAGTGAGAAAATAAGGGACATAACTATAAAAATGTCACATTTGATATCATGTATAAAGTATGTGTCCTAAACACATGTTTACTATTGAATCAAGACATTGACTCCTCAATATTATGTCTCCTAAGCACGATATATTTTTCAAAACCACTTTCAAATGCAGACTACCAAGAATCTTGAAAATCTGAAATTTAATATTAAAATTAGTTTTTACAAACATTTTCTTTCTTTCTTTTTTTTAATGTATTTAGTGCAAGGTCTATAGGGTCGCACTATACAGATCGGACTCGTAGTGATTCTCCTGTTTTCAGTGTCCCAAGCTCTGGAATTAGAGGTGTGCCCTACCATGCCAAGTCTCAGTTGCCATCTCAGTGCATCCCAGAGGTATGGCCAGCAAGGCACACCTGGGTGCTTTAATCTGCTGCGCCTTCCTAAGCAGGTGCTTTAGTCTGCTGAGCTATTTGGCTGGCCCTAAACTTTTTCACCTATAGTGCAAGATACTTCAAACATGTAATAATATTTCAATACATATCCCATTTTGAGGACATGAGAGAAAGATCTTTGTAACAAAAAATTTTTGTACTAAAATGGAAAGCTAGCATGACTGTATGAATGAGGCAGGTGTTTTATATTTAAAATAATCTTTACTATTTTTATTTTATTTTATTCATTAATTTTATTGAGAAACAAATAGCAATGAAACTGTTTCAAAACTGATTAGTAGGACAGTTTCAATAATTAATACATTGCATATTGTTGTCTTCGTAGTGGTCATTCATATATGAGATGCAGACGTGATATCCTGTCCAAACACTATTAGTACAAATCTTTCTTCTCATTGAATTAAGAGAAAGTAGCTATCCTAACTATTTTATATGTACAGATACAAAATGGTCCTTCATTTGTGTCCCCTTTTTATGTTGTTTTGTCAGAGATGGGTATTCCAGTGTCATTTAAATATTGTAGGTGTGTGAATTCAGCAAAATGAGGCAGTTTTTTTGTTTGTGTGTGTGTGTGTTTTTTTTTTTTTTTTTTTTTTTTTTTTTTTTTTTTTTTTCAGAACTGGGGATTGAACTCAGGCCCTTGTGCTTGCCAGGGAAGTGTTTATTCCCCTGAGCCAACTCCCCAGCCTGAGGCAGATTTTTAATGATATTTATAAATATCTTGGATGACAAAGCACTTTAGAAGTACAAAAGGGTTTACCATATCTCCTAATCAAGACCAACCTAATGGTTTTTTAGGGTGACTCTAACTAATTTTCTTCTTATAACAACCTAATTTTCTGAAGTGGGAAGTATACTCTTCCTCCTTAAATATGTTCCTGATGTTTTAGACTTCTAGAAGTTTTAAGGAGGCTCTATTCTAAAGGACAACATGTCCTTAAGTACTAGATCAGGAAATGCCAATAAATTATTTTATATTATATATAAACTCCAAGTATTTTTGAAAGAGCTAAGTGCTCAAAACTGGAACTTCTGAAGGAATTTCTTTTAGTAGGAATGGATATATTTTTCTAGTTGAATTTGAATGTCTTGGAAAGGAAAGACATTCACCAGTGTCCAATCATGAGCATTTCACATTCAGTCTACAACACTCAAATTCACCAAGTTGTACCAAGGAACCATTGGGTCTGTGAAATCTAAAACTTAGCTTTTTGGACATTTTTGTGTCATTCATAAGAATTTGATAGAATCTGGCATTTGCTCTTACTAAATCTCTAAATAGGAAAATAAATAATAATCATGATTAACATGGTGTATAATTCTTTATGGTAGCAACATCTATGTCTTCTAAAGTCCATATATGCATCCTTCCCAGTATCAACATAAATATAGGTTTAGCTTTAATTTTATTTTACACACATACTTCTCAAACTCAATATCAAATGTACTATGCTCCCTAGATCTAATCTTTCTCCTTAATCGAACAACAATATGTATTGATTGACAACTCCACTACATAGGCTTGGTAAAGAACTCATTTTTAAAATAAGCATGATATTTAAATATAAAATAAGCATGTTATTTAAATATTGATATTTGATGCTAATTTCATTCAGCCATCATTTTTAAAGACTAGCTGCCCTCTCTGACAAAAGGTGGTGGTTTCTCATATATTCAACTTGTGACAATGACATGGTGGCCTTCTGCAATCAATCTTTCCATCTCCCCGCCTGCCCTACCTTTTTTTTTTTTTTTTTTTTGGCTCTGACAACCACATGGAGTTGTGGCTTATATCTTTAGGCCCCTGTATTGGTTCAGGGCATTTCTTTTGAAGCCAATACTTATTCTTTCTCTCCTCATCTCTCTCTTCTTGTCATGGCTACTCCCTTTACATACTTTAATATTTTTATTGCATCATCCCATTTCTGTGGATCTTTTCCAGTTTTACTCTTATTTGCATGTTTTATATTTTTCAGGCAAATTAAAAGAACCATATTTAGCTTTTAGGATTATATTTCATCAGACTGGATACTCTTCCTTTCTGGTTTCCTATGTTTCATCCATTTATCATTATTTCAATTTTTTTCCTTTGTGTTGTCATCTTTGCCATATATACCTGTTGCAAACCAATGAAGATGGTGATAGAGATCATTATTTAGAAATGCTTTAAAATTATATTTTGAAAATTAAATACTATTAACTTATATTCTGGTTCTAAAGATGGACTATTATGGTTAAGAAATGGAACAGAGGACAAGTGTGGCCTAAGTGATAGCTGGCCCTAGAGGTGAGAGCTCTTCCCTAAGCCACGTGTCAGAGTCATGATCCACAGAGGACAGTCTTCAACAAAGCCTACCCAAAACTGGGGACATCAGGGACAAAACAGAGTTTCCTGAAGAGTCTAAAGAGTGGACTGGCTGAGAATTTTCATCAACTGGGCCCAGAATTTCCCTGAAATTCTGCAGTTTAATCAGACACCTCTCTTCCCCTTTCCCCCTCCAAACTCACTCTTTTAATTTTTAATTCAGCCAGTGAATAGGAGAGGAAGCATATAAAAGGATTCCAATTTTAATGTCATACTACTTTCCTCAAGTCATTTCATGTAGGGTAGGGATTTCCCATAAGATTTTTGACTCAGAACCATAGGCTCTAAATCGATATTATTTGTCAATGTAAAATCTAGGTAAATTTCACATATTTGAGGCGATTCTCAGTGTATATTTGATTCTAATGTGAATCACTTTTGCACATTGGACTTCAGATTATAATAAATTCATGTCAAGTTATATACATTGATCTACTCAACCCCATAAGCACTAATATCTGAGAGGAAAGTGGAAAGAAATGCTAATTTTCTTCATTTCACTATAAGTGAGGCACTGTGGGATAAGGAAGGTTAGTAACAAGTTTGTGCAGGTCAATTAACTTCCTAAATTTATTTCCAAGCCTGAGTAAATTCATATTAAGTATTTCATCTAAGGATTCAAAATGCTTCATATTTAATGTTTGATAACAAGCATTTTTATTCCAGTTCATAAAATAAGCAAGTTCAGGCAAGGACCGTGGTTGTCGCTTGTTTCCTTTCTCACCATAGGTCTGTGAAGACTTGAAATGAAGTCACTATCTCAATCCTAATGCTGTATGCAATTTGCATGTATACTTCCAAGTTGCAAGAAAACGCATAATAGTAAATGATCATAAAAATTAAACATAAAATAAATTAAATCAACATTTACATCAGTTAACTAATGATGCCAAATACACTCACAAGTTTCTAAAGTGTTTAAAAATCTGATTAATAATTCAAATATTTTCTTTCTGCCACACTCTGCTTTTCCCTGAATACATATGTATTCATTCCATACACATAGAAAATCTCAGTTGATTACTAAAACAGCAAGGAAAGTGTACCATTCAAATAAAAGAACTACATTCTGCATATTACCATCAAATTAACTCTTTTTTAGCATTTTAGTATTATTCTTATAATTTCAACTGTATAAAAGAGAATTTTTGCAGGTGTTCTTGTTTATATTGCATATTAATGTACTGGCTGTGCCTGTGATGCCTACGATGCTAAAAAAATAATCTCTCACTGTAAACACTATAATGACTAACTTGGCTAGGCTTGTGGTATGTAAAATCTGGTCTTTTCCTCTCTTTGGATTTTAATTGAAACTTTAGATTTTATTGGTTCTCGAACTTATGTTTTGGGACTAGAATTTATACCATCAGCTTCCTTGGTATCCAGGCCTTCAAACTCAGCCAGGGTTATGCTGCTGGCTTTGTTTGTTCCCCATCTTGTTCATGGCAAATCTTGGAGTCTGTCTCCTTCCATAAGCAGATGAGCCAAATTTGTAGAGCAAATTCCTCAAGATGGGTATGGGGGCTGGGGAGATAGCTCAGTAGAATAAGGGCTTGCCTGGCAAGCACAAGGGCCTGGTTCAATCCCCAGTTCTGCAAAAAAAACGGGGGGTATATACATAGGTATCAACATAGATATAGGTCTCTA